CACACATTAGCATTATTTAATTTTCAGGACAACTCTGGAATAGCTATAGTTTTCTGAGATAGTTTTCTCACTTACGTAGCCCAGGCTGACTTTGAACTCACAATCCTCTTGCCTTAGCCTCTGGAGTGCTGGGATTGCAGGCATGTCACTGTCACCAATTAGTACCTATTGCTCTTAAAGTCATTCCCATTTTAGAGTTGAGGAAATTGAGGCACAGAGAGGCTAAGCTGAACAAAGTCCTGTATTAGCAAAGGTGGAGTTGACTTTCCAGTGACTCAACCCTGTGCCCTTAACTAATCACAGACCCTGCTTCCTGTTCTGAACCTTTGCAGATAACTTGGTTTTGTGTTTCATTTATAGTTTAGACAAATTCAGAATTTTTGAGTTGATAAAATTTGTGTCATAACACCTGAAACTTTAAGCCTAACAAATTTTGCCTGGCATGGTGGCACATGCCTTTGATTCCAGCACTCACGAGGCAGAGGCAGGCGGATCTCTATGAGTTGGAGGATAGCCTGGACTACATAGTGCGTTCCAGGCCAGCTGGGGTTACAGAGAGTTCCTGTCTCAGAAAGACCAAAATAAATAAATAAATAAAATAAAATAAATAAATAAATCCTTACAAATTAAAAAAAATTTTTTTAAATTTTATTTTAGTTTATGTATATGAGCGTATTGCCTGCATGTATGAAAGTGATCAAGTGCATGCAATGCCCGCAGAGGCCAGAGAGGGTGCTGGATCCCCAGGAACTGGCATTATGGATGGTTGTTAACCACCATGTGGGTGCTGGGAATCAAACTCAGAACCTCTGGAAGAACAAGTGCTCTTAACTGCTCTCCAGCCTCATAAAGACTAACAAATTTTTTTTTCTTTTGGAAAAAACTTTATTGAAAATTTCATACATGCATGTAAGGTATTTTGAGTAAATCCATGCCCACTCCCTCCCCTCTATCACCTCCTATATCGTCCATCACTTTTTTCTGACAACTTTGTTTTCTTTCTTTCTCTTTCTTTCTCCCTCTCTTGCCTTGGTTCCTCCTTCCTTCCTTTCTTTCTCTCTTTCTCTCTTTCTCTCTCTCCCTCCCTCCCTCCCTCCCTCCCTCCCTCTCTTTCCTTCCTTTCCTTCCTTTCTTTCCTCTCAAATATTTTTTAACATTTTTGGCCTTTGGAAGAGGGTATGTTGCTAGGAGGCCCAAGGACGTTTTGATTTTTAGCCAAGAAACTGGCTACTTTTCTTTGGGGTCTTTTTACCCTAACTGCCTAGCCAATTCCTATCTCCTATTCTTATCACACCACCCTCTGAAGAAGTTATCCAGCTTGTGGATAGGGAATTGGTATGCAGACCGCCCTGGCTTCTTCCATGCTGAACAGGGACTCAGGGTGAGGCATTTGGGGTACACTTCAGTGGGTCTATCTAAAAGACTCCCAGATTGTATAACTCTTATCTGTAGGGGCAGAAGGAAGTCCTTGACTGGTGAATAGGGGATGTGAAGGAGAAGTAAAGGCATGAGTAATTAGCATTACAAGTTCTAGACAGGGAACTAGAAAAAAGTCAGAACAGGGCAAATTTCAAATGTTCATATCAGAGTCCATTGGAGTTGCTTGACAAGGGCTTCCAAAAACATCCCTCTATTGTGTTCTTCCTCATTTTTCTTTTGTCTTCCAAGGCTGGACTAGGTGGCTGGGAAGAGTGGCTGGATACTCAGGTGAGGGTCCAGTGACCCTGCTTGACACTCCTTTAATGAACAATAGCTGGTTGTCTCCCTTAGCTACAGGTGGGCACTACAGTATTGGAGACCAAGATTTGAAGTCTTACATCTGAGCAGCACTTTCTGTTTAGAAACAAAATCATTAATGAGAAATAACTGTCTAAATAACATTTTATATGGACTTAAGCCTAATGTCTGGGAAGTGTAATCCCTTGAACTCTTAAAGAAATACACTGATGACTTTACTCTTTGGTTAGACTTTCCTTTTGGAAAAAGTATGTATGTTTAAAAGGTGTTTAAGACCATACAGTTTGCCCAAATAAACCAGTTTAGTTTTACTCTTTTGGTTGTTGGAGGATCTGTTCCTCAGGGGTCACATGGCTTGGGAGGAGCCCCTGGCTCCTTTCTTTTACCAGTTCCATCTATGTGAAGTAAGTCAAAGGTTCTGCTCGACCATGTCTGGCTTCACTTGGAAGCATGAATGAGATGGTGCCTCTGAGTTGACCCTCCTCTTTGTAGACCGGACACTGGTTCAAGTCCATCTCTTGGAGTCTCCATGGCCTCCCTGAATAAGAGGACAGGTGACTTACCACAGTTACAGGACATTTTGAGAGATGCTCCATAGTCCCCTGGAACTTCGTCGACCTAGGAAGGCAAGGAGCAAAAACTGTCCTTTAAGTCCCTCTGAGCATATTAGTATGGGTCTCAAAGTATGTCTGTTAAACATCCAAGAAGGTTAGTTCCACCAGTCTGGTACTTTTAATTACCATGTGCTATGTAGATAAGGCTTGGGCAAAAACTGTACATTCTCAGATAAACCTTGACTAGACATATATTTTGTTCCTTTAAATCGCTGACTGAACTATGACCTTAAAATTTAAGATAGATTATATGTATACTATTTGTGTCTCATCCTTTATATATAACAAACCTAAACAGACCTTCATCACTTTTCTCATTTTTTCTATTTTGGAAAATATCTCCATTCCCATATCCTTTTAGTATCTTTCACATTCTCGTTTTCTTTTTAAATAATTATAAGACATAATAAAATTAACAAATAACTTTCCATCTGTTGTGAGAATTATTTTCCTGGGGATACTAAGCAATGCTTATCCCCTTTTAAGGTTCTAGTGTCAAACCAATGTTTGATTTAAGTTTTCCTGGGGAACCAATGAATGTAGTTATCCTCAAATCCAGGAGACCATGTGTGATTAGGTCCAAATTACATAGAGAAGCCTAACTACTTTTTACATTAGGTTAAAATGCATGAAATTCCCTCTGCTCCTGTGATATAACAACCCAGCGCTTTTCAACAATGTGTGAAAAGGAAGTTTAAAAAGCTGTGGGCCAGTGAGACGGCTTAAGGAATCAGGACACTTGCTCCTAAGGCTGACAACCTGGTTTGATCTTTGGGACCCACATGGTGGAAGGAAAGAAAGAATGACACCCATAAGGTGGCCTCTGGTTTTCACACGTGCTCAATGGCATGCACATGTACACACACACACACAGACACACACACAATAACTTTTTTTTTTTTTTTTAAAGAAAAGAGCATTAATTGTGGAGTGAAAATTCACAGAAATTAAGGTAACCCTTAAGATTTGGAAGAAAAGGGTAACATAACATCCAAAGGAAATATTCTTTATTTTTTCAGCATTTTTGAGACAGGGTCTCCCTGTAGCCCCAGCTGGCCTGGAACTCTCTGTGTAGACCAGGCTAGCCTCAAACTCACAAAAATCTACCTGCTTCTGCCTCTGAGTACTGGGATTAAAGCCGTGTGCCACTTCACCTTTAAGACCAAAGGAAGTAGTCTAGAGTCAGGAAAACTAGAAGAGGCACAGTAGTGCTCCTTTTCAGGAAGGGCTATAACTCAGGGATAAAGCATGTGCTTAGCATGCAGAGGGCACTGAGCTCAAAGCAGTGTTCCTACTGTTGAAAGCCACTTCATGCCTATGCCTCTCCAGCATCTCACCTCCTTTGTTACCAGGAAACTGCAGTTCCATGTGTTGAATCCTCAATATAATTTTTTAAAAATTACTTATTTTATTTGTGGGGTGGAGTGGTTTATGTCCCCTGTGTGTGCAGGTGTCCACACCCAGGCATGCTTGTGTGGAGACTAGAGGTCAACCTTGGTTGTCTTCCTCCATCCCTCTCCACCTTTATCCTGTCTCTGCTTGCCCTAGTGTTGCAATTACAGATTTCTGCTTTGGCTTTTACATGGGTGCTGGGATCTGAACTTAGGTCCTAATGCTTGCACAGAGGCACTTTACCCACTGAGCCATCTCTCTAGCCCTAATTTGATTTTTATAATGGAATTTAGTGGGAAAAGCAAGACCTTTGTGTGTGTGTGTGTGTGTGTGTGTGTGTGTGTGTGCATGCACGTGTGCACTCGTGTGCCTGTGTGCCATGGCATTAAGTATAGTGGTCAGGATAACCTCAGGTGGCGTCCTCACCGGCCTTTTCTGTTTGCTGCTGTGTAGGCCAAGAGGCTTCTGAGGATTCTCCCATCCCCGTCTCCCCTCTTGCAGTAGGAGCACAGGGATTATAGATTCGCGCTACTGCATCTGGCTTTTTTGGGTTTGGGGGATCCTGACTTAGGTCCTTATACTTGTTTGGCAGGCACTTTGCCTACTGAGCCATCTCCCCAGCTTGTCACATTTTTGCTACAATATATTTCTTAGCAGAAGCTTGCTAAAATATATTATTTTTTAAACTATAAGCTAGTAAAGTCTAGAAATAGGAGCTTAATTTAGATGGACTTACTTGGAATTGTAAGTGAACAGCAATTCATTAAGAAATGATATCTTGCCGGGCGTGGTGGCACACGCCTTTAATCCCAGCACTCGGGAGGCAGAGGCAGGCGATCTCCGTGAGTTCCAGGCCAGCCTGGTCTACATAGTGAGTTCCAGGACAGCTGGGGCTACAGGGAGACCCTGTCTCAAAAAGACAAAAAAGGAGTAATAAATAAATCAAAATAAAAATTAAAAAAAAAGAAACATCTTCCCTAAATTCTTTCTAACTCATCTTTTTTTCTTTTTCTTTTTTGTGTATGAGTGTATTGCCTGCATGTATGTAAGTGTACCCATGTCATGTAGTGCCCATGGAGGTCAGAAGGGGGTGTCAGATTCCCCTGGAACTGGAGTTATGAACAGTTGCTAGCTGCCATGTGGGTGCTGGGAATTGAACCCGGGTCATCTGCAAGAGCAGCCAATGCTTAACCTCTGGGCCATCTCTCCAGCTCCCAAAACTCATCTTTTTTATTAAAAAAATTTTATTTTTTTCAGGTGAAAGACCAAAGAAACCCATTCCTCTTCAGGATCAGACGGTCAGAGATGAGAAAGGGCGGTATAAACGGTTTCATGGAGCCTTCAGTGGAGGTTTCTCTGCGGGATACTTCAATACTGTTGGCTCGAAAGAAGGTATGAGTCCACTGAGGGTGGGGTCTCCTCCTCAAGCACCTGACTGAAACAGTATAAGGTCACCTCTTGTGCTTTGTATAACTGGTTTCATCATGTAGCCCAGGCTGGTCTGAAACTTGAGATCTTGCCTCAGCCTCCTGAGTGGGATTGCAGGCATGAGCCACCATGTCCAGTTCCCCTCTTGGGTTAAAAAAAAAATTAAAAAGTTCTTTAAACATTTCAGTCCATACACTGGAGCACACACATGTTCTTTGAATGTTCACAGAGTTAACTTGCGTGTTGCTCTGTGCAGTCTGAAGGTGAAGGAGTTCTCTTCCACTCTGGAAGTGTATGCTTTCTAACCAGTTGACTATAGCAGGGTGATGAATTGATTTCATCTTGTCTCGCCCCAACTCGCTCACACAGATTCCCTCAGCTAATCAATCACTGACAGCCTCCTATGACTCAGAGACTAAGGACAGATGTTATGGGTGTTTTGCAGATGAGGTGACTGAGGGTCAGGGAGTTAAGGAACCAGGATGGCATCTGAATTGCCCAGGCATCACCAGCACTCTCTTGACACAGGACTACAGCATCCTGGCTTTCATTTGTTCTTGACCTGCAGAAAAATCAATTAAGATGTCATACAGTGCAGTAAATTCTATATTTAAAGTAATGCATACTGTTTTGTTTTCTTTTTCTCTTTCTCTCTCTCTTTTTTTTTTTTTTTTTTTTTGAGACCAGGTCCCCCTTTTGTCCCAGCGTGCCCGGGATTTGTTTGGACAAT